TATGAAGGCAACAGACCAAGAAGTGATTTAAAGATGAAAATGTACCAGTGAGAGAGTCTGCGTGAAGTTAATGATGACCAGTTAACCAGTGAATACAGGGTGCAGTAGTTACAGCCGGTTCTGAATCTTAGTGCACCGTCATAGACAGTGTCCAACATCTGCAGGGTGCTTGTAGGAGCGTTCATGTAAATAATCAGAATAAGCTTTATTGTCATTGCACAGTTAAGTACAGCGAGACTACGTTCCGTACAGCCGTCCTAAAGATGGACGAAGGTGTACAGGGGCTGCAGCGTCTAAGAAGCGCTACCCTTATTGTTTAGATAGAAAAAGGGAAGACGCTTAAGGAGAGTGGGGTATACAAAAAAGATCTCTCACACCATGTCCTTGACAGGGCACAGTTTAAGATATCAAAAAATTGACCACAGTAAGCAATGTACAGTACATATCACATGGACAAGAAGACGGTGAGAAAAGTGTCCGTCTTGTTATAGGGCAAGTGAGAAAAAATAGATAAATGAATAATGTCACCAATGGAGGGAAGGAATGTCTCAGTTACAAGATGTTTCCTAGCGTTCAGAGTTAGACAGGATCTATTTCTGAAAAAGAAACCCCATTTAATTTTCAGTTTCTTTACCAAGTTTTCCACTTGGAGCTGAAAAGAGAGATGTGAATCGACCAAGATACCCAAATATTTGTAGGAATTGACCAATAATGATGATGTTTAACTACAGTTTAGATTTCACATCTGAGCTGCCTGAGCCTCCCTCGCTCATTTCAATAGGTTCTAACATACTGATGACCATTTTCTCTTTTGTTTTCTTAAACTGTAGTTAGCTACCTCCCTTTAAGCACTGTAATAAATCCGTTAACTTAACCACAGTTCATTTCACCTGTGTACAAGCCGAAAAACACTGATTTGCATTGATCAGCACACTGTCTCCATCTGCTGGTGGTGAAACAGGTGCTCCTCACTCTGAGTCAGGTGAGGTTCCTGTGAGGTGAACGCACTCATCTTTGAAAGTTATGTGAAGAATTACATGTCTAACTCTTATTACACAAACGACAGAGCGCCACACTATCATCAGAGAGCCATCTGCAGGGCCTCAACAGATGGTTGCTATATTCTGGGTGCATTTTAGTTAAGAACAACGAAGCTGGTCCTCCATGCATCACCCAGCAGTTCTGAGCTCTGCTGCTGGTTTTATCCCCATCCTGTGGACTGATAGGGAGGCAACAGTTACAGTTTTGCACACAAATGCAAGAGGAGATTTTATGTCCTTTTTACTGTCCCCTGCAGGACATGGAGCAACACTGAACGTTGACGGAGAAGTGGAGCTGGACGCCATTATCATGGATGGAAAGACACTTTCCTGTGGTGCAGTGTCTTCAGTAAAGAACATCGCTAACCCTGTAACACTGGCAAGGGCGGTGATGGACAAGGTCTTACATCTTATTCATATTATATAATTTATATATTAAAACAATGATAAGTGAATATATATGGTAAATGGACTGTACTTACATTATGCCTTTCTATCTTATCAAGATACTCAAATTACTTTACAATCCGTGCCCTCATTTACCCATTCATACAGCACTCTACTAGATCTGTACAAAGAATGATCAGTGCTTTATTCATACACTGATGGGACACACATTGGAAGCAAATGAGGGGTTCAGCATCATGACTGTATAAGACGTGTTGTTTTTTCTGCATTCTGTTGCATGTTTGCTGCTGTGGAACGTCTCAGACGTCCCATGTCATGCTGTCAGGCAAGGGTGCAAGCCTGTTTGCAGAGAGCATCGGTGTCAGCACGGTTCCCACTGACTCGCTGGTGACTGAGTATGAAAAGAGAGAATGGGAGAAGCACAAGCATTACATGACAGAAGTCATGGAATATTTCAACTCTCAGTGGTATGAAGCATCTGCCCTTTCTGACTTGATGTTCTGTATGAACCAGCTCATGAATGTATTTTAGGGTGGTGGGAAGACATTTTAAAAAGAGACACAAAAGTCCCTTTTATTAATATGGAATTACAGAGGAGTTTTGATGCTGTCCACAGTAGATTTCATCATTTAATGAAATCCTGTCTCTGAACAAACTGCTGTGTTTTAATCTGGTTCACTTGGTTTCTATGCTGTATTACAGTAAATCAAAAGAAATGAGCATCGGGAATGTAAAACATTTGTCAGTTACAGTAGGGGTGTAATTTATCATCTTATCTGACAAACAGCAGGAACTCTTTTGGCACAATTTCTTTAGACTCAGACACTAAATTTTCCAAGTCAGATCTGCAGAATGCGATGTTTTGACATTGCACATGACTTTTCTTCATGTAAAACTTTTTTGTTTTGTTTTCGGATCGCAGGGTTCATGATACCGTTGGGGCGGTGGCTGTGGACTGTGCCGGCAACGTTGCATGCGCAACGTCAACTGGAGGCATCAGAAATAAAATGGTCGGCAGAGTAGGAGACTCTCCTGTCATTGGTATGACTGACAACCACTATATTGCATTTCATACCAAAGTTTTAGACTAAGTTCATTCTGTGTTGAGAAATGACAAAGTTGAAGCCGATTTGGTGATCCTTAAAAATACATTTGTGCAATCTCATGCAGTATCATGTATCATCACAGTATATGTTGTGAATGACTCTCAGCTGCATTCACATCAAATTTTAGCTCCGTGTTTGTGAAACTGACTGAATTATAGCCATTTTTTGTGATTTCTGCCATGTTGGCCATCTTGAATGGGTCAACTCCGAGAATAAATCACTTGTAGATGCATCTCCAGTGATTATTTCCTGAATCTTTCAATAAAATCCATCAACTGCTTCATGATATAATTAGCTAACAGCCAAAGCTGACTCCAAATAGTCAATGACAAAACTTTACACAGATACACAATTTGCTGTTGGTGAGGGTATGTGTTGGGGATCACTCTAAACTAGATTTGGGATCTTCATTTTGAATTTGATTTTGCGGATATAATTGAAAATAATATTACTGAAAAACATTTTATTTGGAGGTTTATGGAGCAATGTGCAATTGCACACCAGTGATTTTTTTATTTATTTTTTTTAATAAGGTTTTGCTTTTGTCAGCATGTCACAACCGTTTTGCAGTTTCGCAGTGCCACATGTTTCTTGATATGAAATTGATTTGACTGCACAAAGTGTCATTTTAAAACTTGTTTTCAATTTCTGCGCTCTGCAAAAAGGCTGCGGAGGATATGCAGACAACTTCAGTGGTGCCGTATCGTGCACAGGCCACGGAGAATCTATTCTGAAAGTGACTCTAGCCAGGCTCATTATTTGGCACATCGAACAAGGTAAAACGATTCATGCTTGTGAATACGTGAACGTGTAATTTAGTCATAATTAATATGATCAATAAATGGCTTGTTTCTGGTATTTCCAAACATTTAATCAGTGTTCTATTTCTTCTTCTTGCTCCAGGTAAATCTTTGGCAGAAGCCTCCCAGCTGTCTCTGCAGCACATGGGTGATCGAGTCCGGGGAGTGGGAGGAGCAGTGGTAGTTTCTCCGTCGGGGAAGTGGGCCGCCACATTTACCTCTCAACGAATGGCTTGGGCTGCTGCGGAACAGGATGTCCTGTGGTTTGGATTAAACCCAAATGAGACACTGAAAGGGAAATTGTCCCAGTAGCAGTGGTACATTTAGTTTTTGATTAGGTTTTATGTTCCAAATGACACCGATTCAAAAGAATCCACTTCAAATGGTTAATTTATTTGTTTGAGTCACTTAATCTGTTGCAGTAATTGATATTTGCATTTGATTAAATGAGTTGTTTTTAAGAACTAATGTGTAGGATCCATGAAACATATAATTTACAGAATTAAAATTTAATCTCACTGCAGCAGACATGTGAAGAAGCACAGTAATCCATAGAAAAACTCCTGTTTTTCTTGAGTCATCATTGCAAATTACATTTGCAAGTTGAGACGTCTGATGTCTTCTAATAAATTTTATCCTAAATTTTAATTTTTTTTGGCAATTTTCTCAATTAAAAAATAAAAACGAAAGCATTTCAGTAGCCTTTATTTAGCAGCCAATAAAGAATGTGATAATAGAACGATGGCAACATGCGCAGAAGAACCACAGGTCAAGTTGTGAATCAGGTCTTGTTGTGCGCCCTACATTTGGATACTAACTTGGAAATAATACAAACACTTTACACCCATTGTGAGCAGATTTGCATGCTACATGCTAAAACTGTAAATCATAGTACTTTTACAGAAGTTAATGATATATATCTAACATTAATTATATTCATTGAAGGTCAAAGTTTTTGCATTCATTTGTCTATGCAAAGTTTTCTGAGTGCACATGCCAGGGATGATGAACTGAAACATCTGGGCTGAGTAGGAGTGGTTCTGTTAGGACACCCCGTTGAGTGGAGGGAGAGCAACACATCTGCTGTCCAGTGGGATTTCAGGTTCCTCAAAAACCTGTAGCTTCTTGCCACTGGACCAGATGGTTCCAATGGTAACAGGTATTACTCTGACTTACCTGGGAGAAGAGTAGACCCCAAATGAAACATCTGAGCCCTTCATAGTGTATGGAAAAATAATGTCCCTTTAATGACTTTAATCGGTGGAGAAAGGCTGAAGTCCAGTGAGCTTGAAGAGAAAAACTGTGCAAAAGAGTTGAATGATTATTTTTCTTTGTATTTTGACTTTCATGAACAGAAAATCACTTTAAAAATTACAAAAAAAAAATCTGCCTTAATGGAAGCAATAACAAATTTGAGGTGTTTTAAAACTCATGTACACTACTGTATGAGAATGTTTTGCCAAATGCCATTACTTTCTGTTTTGTTGTCCGTTTTACCCATTATATTTAGGCCTGGCTTTCAACTGTTTTTTTCAAAATGGAAAAAATTGTATTTTCCCACTTTTTAAAGCCTTCTTAAATTTTGTATTGGCTCTTCTAGGTCTTGTTTAAATCAGATGTGACGACTAAACACACTTCAGGAGATAAATTATTAGCACAGTTTGTTTTCCCACACAGTTTGAGCCTTACAACAGTAAATGACAAACGGTAAGACAAGTCAATATTGCATTCGTTATTGCTTTTTAGGTCTTTAATATATTGTATTATGTTTTAATTCTAGTCATGATTTTCACTTTTCATGTTCATTGTTATACAGTGGTCTGCTCAAAAATTGCATAGTACTTGTGCATAAGCCTGTACAATTTGTACAAGTAAATAAATTAAAAATAAATAAATAAAAATACATTTTGAAATAAGTAAAAAAATAAATCTTGAAATAAATAAAAAATAAATCTTGGGGGAAAACAAACAAAAGAAACAAAAAAAAAAACCCACCCCTAACATTTCTATTTAAATGTTTTATTTTATGGGAACATGTATAATTTTGAATGAAATGGCTCTCCATAGTACGATTTGTATAAGTAAATGAATACAAAATAAATAAATAAAAAAAAGTCTGTTGCGTTGCTATCCGTAAACAGAGAACCACGTGACTCGAAGCCCCGCCCCTCAGCCGCTTTGCAGCAGCGGGACGATTGACGGCCTGTTAGAGGAAGTTCGCGGTCGTGCTACTATGTAAATCTGCACGAGTGGACAACGCTATCACAGCACGGAAGAGGTGAGACTCTAAAATACACACAGATGTATTTTTTCCAAATATCTCAATTACAAGTGCATAGAAATATACACGAGAGTTGTATCGTCTAAAGAGCGCTAACAGCTGTCAAACAAACTTCCAAGGCCCTGAGCGCTACGGCTATCAAGCTAACCCATCTCGAGTATTTAGCATCGACTTGTCTCACTCAAAGTACACATATTTGTGCTTTTAAAATGAAATCCTTATAAGGATTGTTATAACTGCATTTTGCAGTTTTATGAATGACCTTAAAGTTTTATTAGCTGGTTACTTTCGCTTGTAAGCAGCTTTATAATGTGGCGTTAGCATGCTAACAAACATCCATGATGGCGACCTGCAGCAGATAATCATCTTGCGAGACGGCCAACACGTTTTCACAAATTCTATGGAGAAAATTTTGTCTCGCTCGGTCATTTGTATTGTTTAATACCAAATGAGCCAGTCTGTTGCCAGCATTACTTTATTTAATTTAGCTGAGGGATTGCTACAGACTGTAAATTAGGCCTGTTTGTGTTGTCTTTGCGCTTGAATAGAGAACGCTATTCTTATCAACTTCCTTCTTGGGAAAACAACAAACATCCTCCGTTTTGGCATGTTTTCTGAACTGGCAATTGGAAGGATCAATAATTGTGCAATTATTGGTATGCTTACAATGTTTTGTTTTTGTAAACAGTAAGTCTACAGAAATGGGGAGCTAACCAGCTAATGAATGATTTCAAGCAGCAAAACTTAAAGCTCTGCTGCTCCTGTAGTTTCCTTTAATAAGTGATTTTGGATTAAAACACCTTCTGCTGTATATATGATAAATCTGTACATGGTTACTGTTTTGAAGCAATATTGATGGCCTACTTTAATATGAATTTGGAAACGAATGCATGAATGAAACTTAATACGTGCCACTCTGTTTTTATCTAGGAAGGGGACAGCATTAATGGATATTGTGGACACCTTTAACCATTTAATACCCAGTGACCAGTTGGATGAATCCCTGGTGATAGGTCAGAACTTGGAATGTGAAGCCAGTAATGAGTTTGGGACAGGACCCAGATTGCAAGATTCACTGAAGAACATGCTCAGTGACAAAGACCCCATGTTTGGGTGTGCAAGCGCTCAGTTCAATCTCTTGGATAATGAAGATCCCGCTTTTCATATCGCTGGCTCGGCAAGTATGTCCACAGTCAAAAGAGTAGGCAAAAATGCCCAGTTGTTGAATTGTAAAGTAAAGGTTTCCTCGCACACACATTTCTTAAAATTCTTTAAAACATCCTGAAGCTGTATCAAAGCTCTATATTTGGCACTTGGCTAACAGCTAAACATTAACTTAATGTAACATGCATCATAAATTAACATGTTCTGGAAATGTTCCTCACAGTGAAGAGCTACGTGTACTCAGACCTTATAGACTGTGTTGGCAGTACCAGACGACACAATCAGCCACAAATTTCTTTCACATTTCATTCTAAGAAGTGATAGCGTTTATTGTCAATATGTCACCTTCACACAAAATGTGTGATATTATTAGACTTTATTAATGTTTATGGTTGTTTTAGTATTTTTTCTTCACATTTTTTACAAAGAAAAACTTTTTCTTTCGCAGGTCCACGGAGTGGTTCAGCATCTGCAGAATTTACTAATGAACTGAATGCTGCAAATACCTCGCAAGTTAAACAACCTACCGGCAAGAGAAGGAAACGTCTAAACGATTTAGACTGTGGTAAGTTTGAGCTTATTTAATATGTGGTGGTGTTACAACAATATTCACATACTGACAGTTTTTATTTGAACTAAAAACTGCATGCACAACTAAATGTAGGTTAATGGTTATTGTCCACATTGTCCAGATGAATGCTCAATAATCCAGTTAGAAAAATCTAACAACATCGGGTCCCCGAGTCTCCTATTGTTGCAAACCTGTACATGGAGGAGGTAGAAAACAGAGCCTTGACATCCTTTTTAAGGACACCACCGATTCATTGGTTCAGGCCAGGATTCTGAAGTCTACACTCATCTGCAGGCCAGCAGTCACTCTTTCAGGGATGAAGATGTTCATATTCTTCATAGACAGGAATGCTGGTTTTACAGAGGAGTAAAGGAAGCCATCTTGAAGAGAACCCGTTCATTTTTAAACAGGGGTGGGAGTCTCTTTGTTCAACTACCACCCTCTTACTGTTACTGCAAGTATCACTCAGCCCCCTGTGAATAGCAAGCAGCCATCAGGGCACTGACGGGTGTCAGCAACAGCAAACTAGTTGTTCCACTATAATAAGGTGCTATTACAAGAATGAGTTTGCTGCAGGGTCTCAGACTGAACAAGTGTTTTGGATAAAAGACGAAATGTTTCAGCAAAGAAGAATCTGTTTAGAGGACCTGATTTAACCTTGTTAGATATTGTCTGCATTGCATCTAAAAAAATTGGGAACGTGGACATTGTTGCACATACACAGTAAAAATCTGGAAGACAAACCTTTTGAGTCCTTAAGCTTTTTGAATACGACCATTTGTTCTTGCATACATGTGCAACGCCCCTTCTCACAACGTCACCATTAGGTTATCCTCTAAACCACCACCAACATTATGATGGTAAATATTCAATATTCACGGAGCATGCAGATTTGTATTAAGAAGGCTTTATTGTGAGTACAATTTCTTTAAATATAATTTAACATGTAAAGTGTGTTGCTTTTTTTTTCTTCTTTGTGTTTACTTCACAGATTACAGTGATGACCAACAGCCTAGCATGTCAACTAACAGATTAATCAGAGGACGACCAGGAAGGAAACTTGCTAAAAGGCTCAGCAAAGGCTTTCTTATTGAGAAAGGAGTTAAAGGAAAACAGCTGAAAAAAGATTTGGTTCTTGGAGGGCGTATTAACATTAATGATCTTGATGGTAAACTGTGGCTGAATCCAACAGTTGTGTTGAGACGACTGACGGTCACAATTGGAGGATTTAAAATTGAGTTGCTTCCAGGACCCTCTTACACACAGAGTGTTGATACAAGCCAGTCGTTGTGTTTCGACGATGGGTTTTCTTTTAGTGGCGACATTGGTCTGGGCATCTTGCCAGATGATGCTGGCAACATACAGAATGCTATTCCAGAGAATGTGGCAGAGATGGATGTGACTGAAAAGAGTTTGAATGATGACACAACTCTTGGTCTGGGCCCATACGTGAACCCTAATGATGTGCAGATCTCTAACAGTGTTCCATTGGAGAGCTCTTGCACGGAAGACGCAAAACAAGACGATCAGAATGTTCCAGGAGATACAAATCCTGTCAGTCAAAGAAGGGACAGTGTCAAACATCCACAGAGCAGTGAAAATGACACAGCTGCAGCTGATAAGACTGATAATAAGGAAAAGCATCAGGCTGTAGCCAAAACACTGCTCAAGTCTAAACAAGGACCAGCATCAGTCAAGAACAAGAACTTGGTTACGTGTAAAACAAGCCACACAGTTAAGGAGCATAAAGACTCCCACAACAAGCCGTCCAAACCTATCCAAAAAGACTTGCACAAAACAAAGTCAAAGGATAAACGAGCCGTTTCACCTTTGAAAAGGTCAGCTGAAAACACTCAAAGTGAGCCCATTGCTAAGATGCAAAAAGTACACGGTGCAGGAGATGACAAGTTAAAGCCAAAATCACCGACGACACCAAACCCCGTCACAAAGAAGAGCCCATCATCTGTCAGTCGTGCTGGTGATCACCTGGGACCAACCAAACAAAGGAATCTTCATCATCACGTTTCCAAAGCTGAACCTGATCCCCAAGTGAACAGTCATCCAGGCAGTTCTTTAAAATCCCCGCAAGAGAAGTTCAAAATGAAAAAGCTAGAAAAGTTTCTTACAAAACATAAAAGTAGGAACTCAAGAAGCATCTCTGTGGAGGAGCCGGAGCTGTTTATACCAGACAACGCTCCCGCTGTGAAGAAGGAGACAGTCGAAGAACAGCCGGCTAATAACGAGGCTGTTTGGGATGGAAACAACTGCTGCGGTCTATGTAAAAAACACCACAATAACATGTAAGTATTGCTCTTTGTTTTGCTTTTAAAAGAATACAATGTGTAATATTTTTGTTCCTATTAAATAATTTCAAGCAAGACATGTTTTAATGATGTCGTACATTGTTTAGGCTCATGGTAGGCTGCGGTCGCTGTGACGACTGGTTCCACGGAGACTGCGTTGGTCTCGACTTGACCAAAGTGCACGAGATGGAGGAAGAGGACCAGATGTACGTTTGCTTAAAATGCTGTGAAGAGGAAAGCAAGAAGGTGGAGCCAGAACATCCGACTGCTGCCAAGCCAGAAGTTCAAGAAAAGACTGAAGTACAGGATCATAAGCTGCCGTCTAAGCCCCGTCCAGGATCCTCCCAGGCGCTTTCGTCAGGGGGTGTCAGACCAGTAAGAAAACCAAAGTCTCCACGAAGCCTCTAAAATGTTACTCATTAAATGTTTTTATTTTTTAAAGTTTAAATGAAGACATCTTTATTTTCCCCAGCCTATCCATCTTGTGGTAATAGTCATAGCCAGTGTAACCATTGTACAAGGGTTTGTTCTCCTTTTGCTTTTACTTTGCCTGTACAAGAGGTGTGCACAGGGGGGTGTGGGTATAGACAATTTTTACACAAATATCCTATGAGAGTGCTCAGCCTTTATTTGTTTTGACTGGGAAGTTGTTTCTCTTTCACATTTACCATGCTGGTTTTTTTTTTAAACTTCATAAAAGTTTGTAAATTATATCTAATGTGCCTTTTGCTTTTTTAAACTCAACAGGATCCAGAGAGGAGACAGTCTACAGATGTCAAAGAGGCAACTCATAAAACAGGTGCTGTAACCAGCTGTGCATGTACAAATAATTTAGGCTCTGCCTTGTTTTGTTTTAAACACCATGTTGTCCTCAAGGCCAGGCCAGGAGAGCAGACTTCACTAGCTATGTTTACATAGACATAAGTAATCGGATCAAACGGCCGTTCGGAATAAAAACGCGTCATTTAAACGCCCCGTTCGGCTTATTTTTTGTTTATTCAGCGTGATCCGAAATAATTTGTGATCAGAATGAAACGGGTGGTTTACGCCGATTCAGAACCTGAACGGTGCGCATGTAAACGCTTGATCTGTTCATTTTTTTCTGATTGTGAAAAACTGACCTAATTAATCTAATTAAAGTTTAATTAAATTTAACCTAATTAATCAGGTCTCTCTTGAAAATGAGTCCTCGAGGCTCAATGGGATTTACCTCTCTAAATAAAGTCAAGCGACCTGACTGCGCATGCGCATTTCCACCTGGCTAATGCTAATAACATTAGCATGTTGGGGAAGTAAAACTGGTCGGTGATCGACGATATTTCCACTATAAACTTTGAAAGAGCTCAGAATGATCTGTATTACACGTAGCTCAAGCAGGGAGTGCAGAAACGTCTCCACCATCATTAAAACCTGTTGCTCAGTCTTGGCAAAGCTCCAAAATTCACGGTTGAAATCCGTACCTTCGTGTAAAAAGTTGTTTTTCTCTGCCAAAAGAAGCTGAGAACTTGCTTACTTAAATTAAAAGCTTTGTGTGAAAAATGCTACGCTAAACAGCTCAAACCACACAGCGTCTGCCATTTTGAGAACCAAAGAGAGACAGCCCATGTCACGTCAAGGGGCCTCCCTCCCATTTTTCATAAAAAAGGCACGCTGCTCGTTCCCTCACTATCCATCCTTCAGTTCAGTCTTATACTGCCATCCAGTGGTTGAAAAAAGGTACTACATGCAAAACAAATTAACATTTCCTCTTAAATTTGACAATTACTAATTATTGTTAAATTTCAATCAATCTTATCGTTTATCGCAATAATTTCTGAGACAATTGATCGACCAGCAAAATTTATCATGACAGGCCTACTAAAATAGCTAGGCTGTAAAAATAACAGGCTCTTAAACTAAGAATGCTAAAAATAAATATTTGACTTTTTAGTTTTAAAGTTTATTAAATATTTTTTTTAAATCATCATTGTTTTACCCTACACACTGACCAGTATCTAAAGCTGCAATTGTTTACTTCCTATTTTATTTTATTTTTATCCATACGTTTTTTTTTGTTTTTTTTTACCTTGTAGATAATTGTTCTTTCCTCGCAGGCGTTCAGTCAAAATACGAGATTAAAAGTAAGGCACATTCTCTGGCGTCTAAGAAACCTGTTTCTGTGGATGTAATCAGGAGAAATGTTCGTGATTCTCTGAAAGAAATCCTCACCCAGAGGTCAGTGTTTTATTAATGGTTGTTTGAATAATATACTTTTTTTTAAATCTTAGCACTGTCTAAAAACACAAGTTACAATTTTTGTATTTTAGGTTGAAGGATTCTGGTTTGAACGTGTCTGAAGAGAGGGCCTCTGAAGTCGCCAAGAAGACTGAGAGAGAGCTGTTTCATCTGTATAAAGACACGGATCACAAATACAAGAACAAGTACAGGAGTCTGATGTTTAACCTAAAAGATACAAAAAATAATGTAAGCGCTTTAATTATCAGGTAAATTCTAAATACGTGTAGTTTTTAATCATGAACAGAGTTTACTTAGCTGTGGTTTTGTTTCTTTTTATTTTATCTACAGGTTCTGTTCAGGAGAGTTCTCAAGGGTGAAGTTTCTCCTGGTACTCTAATTCGCATGAGTCCTGAGGAACTAGCCTCCAAAGAGCTGGCTGCCTGGCGACAAAGAGAGAACAGACATGTAAATAATGCAGAGACCTTTGCTGTCAATTACTTTTTATTATACTCACAATATATTTTCTACAAGTATTTTTTATGTAAGCATGTCTGTCATTTAGAATAAAAAAAAAAACAACCTTTGACTAAGTATAATAAATTCATTTTCAGACCATTGAAATGATTGAAAAAGAGCAAAGAGAAGTAGAAAGACGACCCATCACTAAGATTACCCACAAAGGGGAAATTGAAATCGAGAGCCAGGAACCTATGAAAGCACCAGAGCCTGTGGAGGTAAGAAAAAAGCAAATACAAGTATTATTTTTTTTTGTTTACAAATTTAATAAATCAACTAGAACATGTAGATTACATGAGCCGTTTTTACTTTTACCCCCTTTTTAGCCTGAGCCTGTACCCAAAGTGATTGACAATTCAGTAGAAGCCCCTCAAACCCCAGAAACGAAAGTAGAAATTATCGAGACGAAAAAAGACACGACGAGTCAACACAAGTCCCACCTGTTTGATCTTCACTGCAAAATCTGCACAGGTAAACGTAAAAAAGACAAAAGAAACAGATATTAATTATTAAGGCCTCTATATGGAGGATCTTCTTTTTTAAAATTTTATTTTGTATTACGGTATGTCACATTCCTCAGTTTTCAACTACTCTCTTGTTTAAGGTCGTATGGCACCCCCAGTGGAAGAGGCACAAACCAAAGTGATGAAAGTTGCAACTACGGTGGTTCGAAGACAGTCAGCCAAGTCCGAGGAGTCGAAGAGCACACCACCGCCGCCTGCCGTCGAGGATGACCTGCACCTTACTGTTTTAGAAGAGAGTTTCCGAAATGCCCAGTCAGGCTATGACACAAGGTGGTTATTAATTTTCACTCCATGTGACTTTATTGTAAATTTTCCTACTTATTCCACTGCCTCTTTTGTTCTGGGCACAGGTCGGATCATTCAACTGGAAGAGCTGAAGAGACTTCTTTCCTCACCAACTTGACGTCCTTGTGGCGGGGGTTCATTCATATGCACTCAGTGGCAAAACTTGTAACAAAAGCTTTTCCAGTCTCAGGCATTTTGGACAACATGACGGAGGTACAAAGTACATAAAACATATTTAGACTGTCCTGTAAGAGTCTGTCATGGCGCAGATACCAGTATAGAAGACCGATGAGCATAACCCAACTAATTAAACTTTCTGCACTATTCAGAGTTGGAACTATTATTGTGGAGTTAAAAGTCTGTGAATCTTGCCAGCACTGCAACAATTTAACTGTCAAACAGGAACTGGTACAGACTAATTATTAAAAGAATTGTTCATAACATGTTTGTTCATTGGACAGGACCTTCCAGACAGCATCCAAGTTGGTGGGAGGATAAGCCCTCAGACTGTGTGGGATTACTTTGAGAAGATTCGAGCAACTGGAACAAAAGTGAGTTTAATAAGACACTTGTAGATATTTTTTCCATACTACTTGGATAGGATAACCTACATTGCCTGCCAGACAAAATCAAGACAACATGCAGTGGTACAGAGTGACCAAAATAAAACTGTCTCAATGAAAACTAAAATGTTTTGGAAATGATGTTCAATGAAATGTACAAACATATAGATAAAAGTTGAAGGAAGAATCTGCTTGTTTTTGTGGCACCACAGAACAAAGATGTAGATGCATACCTTCTAATGCAGAAGCTTTTGGTAAAGATTATACTGACATGTTTTTTTTTTATTTATTTTTTATTAAAGGAAGTTTGCCTGGTTCGCTTCGCCCCTGAAACAGAGGAAGATGAGATCTCCTACACTCTTCTTTATGCCTACTTCAGCAGTCGTAAACGTTTTGGGGTGGTGTCCAATAACCTGAAACAAGTGAAGGATATGTATCTTATTCCCTTGGGTTCCACAGAGAAAGTTCCCCATCAGCTTGTTCCTTTTGATGGGCCAGGTAACCTGAGGAGAAACTTTAAAAAAAAAAAAAACTGTTTTTTTCTCAGTAATTCCCACAAGTATGTCCAGTTTTTTAAACCTTACATTTTTTGAACTTGACAGGTTTAGAAAACAACCGTGCCAACCTGCTCCTCGGACTCATAATTCGCCAGAGACCGAAGAGGGATTTTCTTCCTGTGGTCCCAACTGAAGCTGCAAGTGTTGTTCCTGAAATCAAGCCGATCATCATTTCCACAAAAGTCACCAGAACAACTGAGGAGGAAGAGAAATTGTTCCTTTCGTCTTTGACTGTACCTCTCAAAAAAGACTTGGACAAACCACTTGAGACAACTGAAGATGAGCCTGTGGAAGAATCTTCTGAAGAGCCTTCAGCAGCAGAGGAGTCCAGCAGTCAGGAACCACAAAAACCACTTCGTTTTCTTCCTGGTGTGTTAGTGGGCTGGGGTGGGGAATTACCTCCCCTGCCAGATTTTGGCGATAAGCCAGTACCTACAGAACAAGATACTCCTAACATCCAGGCAGCTCCCAACGAGGACGCATCAACTGGTCATTCTAAAAGCCCAACGACGACTGCTCCCCGCTTTGTCATCAAGAAGAAAGAAGCAAAACCTGTTAAATCTGAACCTGAGCTGTCAAGTCCGGATGATGCACCTGCTTCTAACAACTCATCAGGAAAAGACGTGGTAGAAGTGGTCCATCATGCACCAGTCTCACTGAAAGATAAACCTCCGTACGTATCAACTGATGAATTCCTGACGAGCTTGTCAGGAGCTCCAAGTGGTACAGAAACCGAGAAGGTGGAAAGTGAAGGAAACTCTTCGTCGCAGTTGGAACCCCAGATCGCTTCAGATCACACAGATAGTCCAAAATCGCCTTTAAGTGGGATACTAAAAAAATCTTCAGCATATTCCCCTGTAAATGAAGATAAGTCTGTGGTGCAACAGAAGGATAAAGTCAGCCTCCCTGATGCTTCAAGTCCTAAACCAGTTCCTGTGTTGAGCAGTACTAGAAGGGAGCCAGTGTTGCCATTTCACCAAGGATATTTACAGCTGTCTCAGGCCAGACAAAAGCCAGAAGAAAGCCCAGTTGCTACTCAGTCATTTCTCAATAAAAAGAATGATCATGGTATGGTTCAACCTGATGCTGTAGTGACTCAAATACAAAATCCTCCTCAAGTCCAAGAATCTCAAGATATTTCCGCCACAGAACTTGATTCTGTTTTCACTCCGGCCATGCCCGAATGCAACAGTGCAGCTCATTCTACCACCGTCTCCACTGACACCGACGACAGCTCTTCACAGGCTTCTTCTGGACTTCAGCCACAGTACCCCGAGAGTCTTTCTGAACCATCTGGCCAAATCTCCTCTTTGGCGAAAGACTACAAACCTCTAGAAGAGCGATACTGTGACCCTTGGGAGAGGCCACGTAATTCTCAAGACCGAGATCACCACGGGAGGCACGGTTACCACAAGGACTCCCACCACGGCAAGAAGAGCCGACACCACGACAGAGAGAGACATAGCCATGACGACAAGTACAGAGAGAGGAGCAAGCACCACAGTCACTCAGACAGCCGTTACGGCGAGAAGAGGAAAGAGAGGTACCACAGCAACGATTACAGCGGCCATCACAAGGACCGGCACAGGCATAGACGGGACTCTGATTATGAGAACGGACGGAGAAGTTCAAAAGACAGTTGTGCATAATTTTATAGTTTTTATTTTATTTTTTTTGGGTGGGAATCTCCCATCCCAGAGCATTTGGGACTCTTAAGACTTGGCTCGTTTGCCACATGACTGATACAACCCATTTGACTACACTGGCTGCTGGTGCAGTTGTTTTATACACCAGTCTGCATCTTGTTTCTCATAAAAGTTCCATTTATTGTTATTGACAATTCAGCCAAAACGATATCATTTCGGTAAAATTATAAATGCAGTTTTTATTCAGACCAAGCATTAAGGTATAATGGGAATGTTTTCAGCTCATTATGTATTGTATCCGTCTTGTTCTTAACGAGCCGCTGTACTGATGGCTCACAACGGTGTGGACTGCGTTAAAGTTACAAGATAAAATTAATTTTAACCTAAACGTTTCACAGGATATTTATGGACAGATCTTAAAACAGCAGCTGTCTTTTTCATTTTAAATTTCCTTTAACGGCCTAAATATTTTATAAACATTTTTATTTGAGAAACTATGTACATTTTGGCTTTGTAAGTACACGTTAGAGATTAAGTGTGCCTTTGCACTGTGTGTTTAATGTACAGTTCATAATAAAACTAATCTTTTTTTATTGTTGATTATGAGAAAATGCTGTATTTTATTTATTAAAAGTAGCTACAGAGACCTGCTGAATCTTACACTAGTCTCCTTTTAAATGGTGCCACAGAAGTGCACTTTCAGCTTTTGTACAGGTAAAAAACTGCAGTTTCACTATTCAGTACCCTCATACATCGGGATGCACGATATCAGCATCTGTATCGGTCAATATTAGCGATAAAGTTAAATATCGGACATCGGCCATTCCATCAAAATAACTCATCGACTTAAAAGGTTTCTGTTTTAAGTAAATTTTTATTTTAAGCTGTCAAGTACATCTATTCATGCGCTACTGCTTGTGTGTTTTCACTTGTCGCTTGTGAAAATTTACAAATTTGCACTGTTTGCGTGTTGCCATTGTGTTAGGGTAAATGTCATGAGTAAATTTGACATTAAACAGAATCCAAGTTCAAGTGTTACATCATTTTCAGCCCCTTTTTGGCATCTGCATTTGGTAACGATGCCAAATTGACAACGACCATGCAGAATGATGTATTTTAATTCCACAGCAGAGAGCTATGTAGTCTCTGTAAGTAGGTCTAGGGGGGAAAAGAAATGGTATCGGATATCGGCCAAAAAGTCCAATATCGTGCATCCCTACTCATAAATATTAAACCCCTCAGTGTTTTTCAGAAACTCTACTGGAGTTGTATCTCCAAACAAAAAAACATTTCTGACACTTCCTTCAAAGCCTTTTGAAAAAATACCAGAGGTGACAACTGAGATATTTCTGTATAATTCAAACCCTCCAAAGTACACCAGACCCCCATAGTTCAAGGCTACATATCTCTCAAATGGGTCCACGTCCTCTAAAAGGATTTCATTACCGTTAAGGAACACCTGAAGGATTGTGCTGTTGAGGCTTAAAGACACGTCGTACCATTTGTTGCAGCAGAAAGATACATTTTTTAAAGTTACTGGAAGAGAAAGTCTTTCTCCCAGATTAACCGCAATCTTCAGATGGTCCTTTTCAAGTCCAACTGCAAGGTAGTCGTCGTCCTCGTGTTCGGCTTTTCCCATCCACATGATCAAACCGTCGTGGGAGCTTGTGCGCACATTAAAAGTGATTTGCGTGTACTTGAAGCTTCTTGTGTTGAATCTCTTGTCCCTGTATTTAATGTAGGAATTTCCAACAAACCTGAAAGTGTCTGTCGACAGTTCTGTGTCGCAGTACGTCCCTGCCCATCCTACGGGGCATACGCAGCTGTAGGAGGTGGCAGTGGATGGAATACATAAGGAACCATGTCTACAGATGTTGTTTATGCAGCTCACAGACTGATTGCACACAGAGCCAGTCCATGAGGATGGGCATATACAAATAAATGAGTCCACCCCTGTAATTTTGCATTGACCTTTGTTTTGGCACACTTTATACCCACAAGGGGTCCCATCCCAATCCCCTATGTTTGCTCCAGCAACAGCTCCCATCTCAGTCAATTCAAGCTCTTGACCATTGATTAGAAGTTCCCTCAGTCCACCCGTGAAGCTCATCGGCTCCCTTTCAGTTGCGTCTGGGGAGACGAAGCTCAATGTGGACACACCTCCGACAAAGATGTCCGTGGTGACATCAAGAGTAGACATACCCTCAGTCACATTCTCTCTGACCTCCTCCTCGTCCAGACAAATGAAGCCTTGGTGACCAACTCGTCCTGCTCTTACTGTGTGCCACATCCTGCCGTGCAAGTCCACCTTTTTAGCAGACTGCAGGATGTTGATGCCGTCACCCAAATTGTATCTCAACTGGACAAACCCCGATGACAAGGAGAGGCAGAAGAAATCCCCTGGGAAAATAATAATATAAAAAGATTAGAAAACGCTATCTTGATTGGAAATAGGCCACTCAGATACTTTTGTAAATTAATAAAATGGATTAAAAATTCACTGCTGTAAAATGTGCAGTTAGGAATTTTTACCGTGATATTTGTACTTTTAATTGGAGAGCTAAATACTCGTTCATGCACAGCCTGGGGCCTCTTAACACGTTCAATATGCCTCTGGTTTATTTGCAAGCAGTTTAAATTATCTTATTTTCTAAAAGGCTCCCTGAGTGTGGATTGATATTTTATTCCTTACAATTAAATGGACTGTACTTATATAGCGCTTTTCTATCTTATCAAGATACTCAAAGCACTTTACAACACAATCTGTGTCCTCATTTACCCATTCATACATCACTCTATCTATAATCAGTGCTTTATCACATTCATACACCGACGATGGGACATGTATCTCTAACCACTCAGCCACAGCCGCCCCATTTAGGTTCCTGTTGACTAATGGTGTAAACTAGAAAAGACCTGCTACTTATGACTTACATATCACAGATATGTGCCAATAAATTTGAAATTCTCAAGAAAAATAAATTTATGTTACCTAAACTGCTGCCATCAATGCATCAATGACCCTAATGAATTATTTTAGATCTTACAGACTAAAAAACTAGAAGAACTCATTTTTCCTATTCAGTTTTGCAGCAGGAAATGTTCTCAAATCAACAATTAAGCATATATTAAAGCCTCTAACATTATGTTCAAAAATAAAAAGTGCTTTTTTTTAAACTTTAGGGTGGCTGTAGCTGAGTGGTTAGAGCAGTCGTCCTCCAATGCGAGAGCTGGGGGTTCGACTCCACCAGCAGTTACGTGCCAAAGTGTCCCTGAGCAAGATACTGAACCCCTCGCTACCTCTGATGTGTCACATCGGTGTATGAATGAGATCTAAAGCACTGATTATTCTTTGTATAGATATAGTAGAGTGCTGTATGAATGGGTAAACAAGGGCACAGATTGTGTTGTAGAGCAATTTGAGTATCTTGATCAGATAGAAAGGCGTTATATAAGTACAGTCCATTTACAGTACTTTGATCGTTCAGTCAAGTGCATATCTAAATGTGTGTATTTTGTTGACAGAAAACATTCTAATAAAGCAGAATTGAATATGAAAATGTAATCCTCACCAGCTCTGGCACTGAGATGCTGAGCAGTGTAGACAAGGATGCCATCAGGTGATAAAGGCTGGAACTGCAGCTCCACCACTGTCCTGTGTCTTACACTCATAGGAGGGAACGACATCCACGAAGACTGTTTAGTGCTGAAGAACGGATCGCTGATGCTCACAGCTAAACAAATAAAATAATGCAGCATTTAAATGATTGTTCACTGAGGGTGCTGTCTTTTTAAATGTAGAGAGAACATCTATAACAGATAACGTTAGGGTTGACAGGTGCAACCTTTCTGGCAGTGGAGTCCTGCTGTCCCCAGAGGACACTGGCAGGTATATCCATTTGGCAGAGGGATGCAGGTGGAGCCGAGGGCACACAGAGGTGGGGGGTTGTGCTCAGCATCACACACAGACACGGTCTCAGTGCAGAGGGCTCCTTTCCATCCAAGTGAGCATTGGCAGCTGTAGAGTGGAACAATCGAACACAGTGTAAAGCCTGTAAATGCTCATTTCCTTTAGCCACGCTGCAAAGAACAGATGTAAAGTCACAACTGTAGCATGGAGGAAAATAAATGTAGTTTATTTAAATTTCTGTAGTATTTAAAGAGAAAATTATGATGTTTAACTTACTATACAGATGAGCCGGAGTCCACACACGTCCCTCCATTCCTGCAGTGAATTTGAACACAGAGAGTGACTCCACACTGACCCACGCTGCGCCCGAAGGCTGGACGACCCGCGGGCTGCCCCAGAGCCTGAAACCTTCTGTCTCTTCTAGTCCGAAACTGCACATCGAAAATGCACCCTTTGACACAAATACAGATGTCAGAGAGACATACGTTAAATTCCTGGAAAAAAATACAAGACGGAGAGAGAACTAAAATCCAATCTGTGTACCGTCCACATGTTTTACTAAAAAGAAGACTTAAAAAAAAAAACATCTTTTAAACATCTTGGAGAACCAGCTACAGATCTTCTGTGGCTGTAGGGTGGCTTAAATATTTCTGTCTCTTCTTGTTATCTCAAATGCTCATGATGCTGAGATCAGATGTGTGTGCAGGAACACTTTCAGGACTCCTTGTTCTTTACACTGAACATAGCTATCATTAGCTCCATGTTTGGGCTTGTTGTCCTACTGCAGAGAAAGTTGGGGCCAAACAGCTGTCTCCCTGATGGATAAGTATTTGTTTATATATCTCAGCAGAGTGCATCATTTATCGTGACCAACATATCCAACTATGTTAGCATAACTGCAGCCATAAACTTGCAAAAAGCCTCCACTATGAAGAGAATGTTGCATCTCTGCCTTCAGTCAAATATTTCAGATTTTTACTCATCCTGGAGCGCCACTGTCATTTTTCCGCATCTCAGTTGCAAATCTGTGTTCTATTTCGTAAAGGCTTCGCCCTTTAAGGCCTTCGCTATTGGGTTTATCCCGTCATGCAAAGCACCGCACTGAAACATTTAGTCCACGCCCACCTGTTGTGTGGGCCCCACCCGGTCCGTATAAATTATGTTAAGAGTGTGTTTTGACCTTGTTTCCACATCTGAAATATGTTTTTCTTTCTTCATTCCCCATCCATCCTTCCTTCCTTCCCTCTCCATCCATCCTTCCTTCCCTCTCCATCCATCCTTCCTTCCTTCCCCCTCCATCCATGCTTCCTTCCTTCCCCCTCCATCCATCTATCCATCCATCATCCTTCCTTCTCATCCATCCATCCATCCATCCATCCATCCATCCATCCATCCATCCATCC